AACTGGCCTCTGAGGCTGAAGGCAGCTTCTTTGCACCTGGCCTGGAGCTGGCCCGCGCCCTCTGGGAGCCGCTGGCGGCAAGGGAGCACGGGTGAGCTTCGGCTGGCCTGGCCCAGACTCAGCGGTGAGCACAGTGCTGTCCCACGGCCCCGTTATCCTCAGACTGGGGTTCACCGCGGGGCACTGATCACTCACAGAAGTCCTCCCTGTCACTCTAGAAAGTGTACTTTTAGTCACCTCCCCGCAGCCCTGCACCGGAACCACAAGAGCCATGCGCGGTTAGCGAGATCGCCCTCCACTGCGTGCCACCTGCCCTCCCTGCGCGCACACACAACACGGAGGTGACTTTATCGTTTTCACACGTGCTCTTCCAGTTTCTGCAGTAAGCCTAGGTTTTACGTTACCAAAAGTTGGCCCACACGCTGTTCACGTGTGGTCCTGCACTCAACCATTTACCCTGGCATGATCCTCCTGCCTCAGCCTCCTAGGTGCTGGGCGTGCAGGCCTGGCCACCACGCCCGGCTCTGGCACAATGCCATTTCTCTGCCCTTGGTCTCCCTCCTAGCTCCCTCCCCGGAATCTCGAAACCACACGGTGCTGCCCTCCCTCTAGTTGAGAAAGGAGAAAGGAGACCCCCGTCCCCTCGGCCAGGGGTCCCCGAGAGCCCCTGTGTCCACAGCAGTGGCTGCCCGAATTCTCGTCCTCCGAGAGAGCTTCCCACATCACCTGCTGGCGTCCAAGCTCCACTAAAGCAGGGGCTTTGGCTTTTTCCCTACGAACAGCGGCTGACACAGAACAGGCACTGGACAGTCACGGAATGAGAACTGCGAGCGCAAACTCGCGGTAAGGACAGGAGAAGCTGCGGCCACCGCTCCCCTCCGACGCCAGGCCCGTCCTGGAAGGAGCCCGGCCAGCCGCCCCGGGGAGGAGGTGCACAGCGCAGCGAGGGCCCACACCCTTGCCTAAGCGTCTGTTCCTTACAAACATGCGCCCCCCACACGCACACGCGTGTCTGTGCACACGCAGCCACACACAGGAGACAAAGCGCGGCGGCAGGACACGTGCTGTCGGGAGCCTGACTTCCGGAGAGCTCTGGGCTGCCATCTTGCCGCCCACCCCGCGAGCCTTCTGCACCAGGCTCCGACACACGGCCAGCCGACGGGGTGGGCGCCATCACCCGGGGGGGGGGGGAAACCAGCTCCCCTGAGCCTCCGGCCCCCACCAAGCGAACCCCTCGACCCCGCCCAGGACCTCTAGTCCCCAAAGGGTCAGCGTTCCTGGGTGCATCAGGTGGACAAGGAAGCGAGAGCCGCCCGGAAGCGCACACGGGTCCCCACTCACTGCGCCCTCGCCGCCCGCCGGGCGCTGGGTGCCGCAGGGCCGGGCTAAGTGACAGGGCCCGCTCCGCACAGGCGGGCACAGACACACCACACAGTGACGCTGTGGCGGCTTCTCTCCTGAACACACAAGGAACGTGGGCACGGCCACACGGGGCTGCTCGCCTCCCAGGCCTCAGATTCAGTTCAGAAGCTCCCAACACCACTATGTTCACACGGTCTCTACTTTGTAGGCGAAGTCTCCTCTCAACCCCAATGAAAAGGCAGAGTTGACCTCATTTCATTTTTCACCCCCAGTGCCCCCAAAAGCCTCTCCCAAAGAACCTGTAAAGGCCGCTGCTCCTAGCCGGCTGGCGGTCGATGATAAAAACACCACCCAACTCCTCCTCTTTCTCACCCGGAGTCACACACTGAGTTACACGGTGAGACACAGCAGGGCCCCACCTCTGTGAGGATGTTGAGAGGGAGATCACGCTAAGGAGAAAATGTTAAAAAGAGACCAGGCCAGGTGCGGAGGTGCACGCCTGTAATCCTAGCATTAGGGAGGCTGAGGCAGGAGGATCGATGCAGGTTCAAGGTCGGCCTGGGCTACCCAGACAGTCCCAAGCTAGCCCTGACTGCGTAACAAGACCTCGTCTCAATAAAAACAAAAAGAAAAAGAGCAGAACATTGCTATGAAGCCAGCTGTCCATCTGCACCCAATCAATGATCACTAAGAAGCACAGTGAACAGTAATTAGGGGCGAGAAGAACAAACATTTATCTGGGAACCAAACACCGACGGGGCACGACACACAGCCAGTCGGCGTCTAGCACGGTTCCACCAGCCCAAGTTGAGAATACTCAGAAGAACTATCCCTCTTCAAAACCCTTCCTCTTGTGAATTAGACCTGTCCCGGCCTTTGCCTGGCACTTTCATTGGAAAAACAAAAAGACGACTCCAATTCCACTCTTCCTCCTAAAAACAAGAAAAGCAGAAAGAGAGGAAAGTCTAGATCTAACCCCGGTGCAGGTGGCCACGCAACTTTTCACACAATACCGAGAGGCTCTCCATTACACTGCAGCCTTTCAAACTGGACGGAGTTAGTCAACTTGGAAACATGCATAGATAAGATCATGCTGAAATTTCTGCACACACTGTCATCGCTCGGGAATGAAGGAATGCCAAGTAGCTGCAAGCGGCCGCTCAACACTTCAGCTTAGTAAAGGGAATTTTCATTAATTCCCTCCGCTGAGCTCTCGGGAGACCTAAGCACAGTGAGCCCTCCAGATCCGCACGGACAGCCTGGCTGAGGCTGCACCGTCTCTCCTGCCGTGAGGCAGTTATTTACATCGCGTTTCCACCCAGAAGCCCAAGGGAAAGGGAAAGGGAAAGGGTGCCGCGGCCAGGGCCCGCTGGCAGGACGGACCGGGAAGACCAGGCTTTGCAGGGGCTCCCTCGGCACTGCGGCAAACTAGCCAGTGTCCCTGAACCTCCACCTCCACCTTAGTAACAGGGGCCGAGTCCCCAGAGCAGTCCGGCGGCCTCCAGGCCCGACACACGGGCAGCCGCCAGCACGCGGCACGGGCTCGGGACACGCTGCTTCCCACCCGCCTTCCCACGGCCGCAGTGCTGCTGGTCGGAGCGGCTGCGCTGAGTCCCGCGCGGGCCGTGCTCAGGCCTCCCGGGGGCCGGCGCAGCGGGCACCCCCACAGCGCCACGTCTGCGGGGACCTCGGCCTGTGCTCGGGGAGGGAGAGGTCGTGGCGGGGAGCTTCCTAAGCAGCACCGGCCGCCGCTTCCAGGACCCTCTGACCTGCTCCCGCACGCCCTCCCTTTCCGCTCCAGGACGTGCGCGCCGCTGTCGCACCGTGAATGAGCAACGCCGTTTATTTACACGAGTTTCCAACAGGGAGTTTAGAAGGAAACCCAGGGGAGAAATCCACGGTACAACCCTGGATTCCGTGTGGCTTCCGAAATTTTGTGAATTCTAACAATGTGGTATCTATTTTTCTCCAAGGAATGTGGAGGAAAATTCTGTTTTGGATTTACTCTGCCATTCTATCCCGGATTTATTTAATTAATCATCTGCAGAAAAATGATAAACTACTGTATCAACGTTATTTATATGGTCAAAGAACCACAGAGTACTAAATATCTCTTAAAGAAAATACATAAATTGGGATTTTTTTTTTTTGGAAATGGTCTTGCCATACAGTCCAGGCTAGTCTTGAACTCCCTACGTAGCCCAGGCTGGCCTTGTGGGATGACCCTCCTGCCTCAGCCTCCCAAGTGCTGGGATTACAGGGAAGCAGCACCACACCCAGCTCCCACACTGGGATTGAAACCAGGGTAACAGTTGCCAGAGAAACAGAATTCTTGTGATGCCCGGCATTTTGTTTAGGGCTTACAAAAATTCACTACTTCAGGATTTTTTGTTTCTTAAGGACAGTCTGCTTCTAGTCCTATTTTCTAATTTAGCAGCAATATAAAAATTCCTTCCTCTACCCTGGCAAGTAAGCAAAAGTAACCAGTCAGGACACACTCCTGACGCTGACAGAGCCGCTCCGGTCCACAGCACACACCAAGGCGGGCGGTGAGACGTCTGCAAGCCGAGAGCGGATTCTCAATTCGCGCTCACTCGATCCCCACGCTGCCTGTCAACAACCCCACCGTCTTCCGGTCACAACAGAAACGCGCCCGCCGCACGCCGCACCGTCATGAGGAGGTCCTACCTTCTGGGCGTCTCCTGTGAAGTACGCGATGGCCAGGGTGGGCAGGATCATGAACAGCGCGTTGTAATAGAGCAGGCCGTACTTCCCCAGCTCCTGCAATGGCAAACAACGAGGTACTGCGCCCGGCTCCGGCACACAGGACCCCCCGACCGTGCACAGCTATTCCCACATCACACATTCCCACCTGGTGTGCGTTTCTGAAAGTTACGAATGCTTGAACTGCGACAGTGGCAGCCAAGCCTGAGGGACGGCCCTCAGCCCGCCGCTGTGTGACTCACGCTCACCGGACCGTGACGCCAGGCAGCCCCGAAACGATCGGTCGTAAACCTCACGTCTATTAAAGCGTCTCAGTGTGGCGGCACCGCTTCGGGGGTAAACGAAACGGTGAGTGCCCCGCGCCGAGGAAGGGCGTCCCACACTTGTACGACAGCCACATGGGCCAAGACAACCTGGCAGGTCGGGCGCTGGGCTGCCCGGTCAGGGGGTCGCCCAGGAAGTGAGGGTGCCCACAGCCATGTATCAGCACGCCACTGCGCGGCGAAATGCCAAAATCGTCGTATTTAACTGGCCTGGACGTTTTCTGTCCCCGGCTTCTTAAACAGTGCTCGGACCGAAAAATGCCAGCAGGCGTCGGCATCGGGGGACCGCACCGTGCCCTCCTGCGCTGCGGCCCTCCGTGCTGTTTTTGTTTTTCTGGTCCTTCTGTCTTACAGTTTTCCCGCTCATTTCTGTTGCTGGTGGCTGACCTTCTACACGGCTGGTGAGCCTCTGCTCTAAACAGAGTTCCAGCACGTTTGTTGCTTGTAACCCATGAACCACGAAAGGCAGATCACAATGCTGAAAAGTAAGCCGGGCGTGATGGTGAACGCCCCTGAACCCAGCACTCGGGAGGCTGAGACGGGAGGATCACCTCAAGTCCAGGCCAGCCTGGGCCACACGGTGAGTTCAAGGCCAGTCTAGATGACACAATGAGACCTCATCTCAAAAAAACAAAACAAAAAGCTTCAGAGCTCTATTACAAGTAAGTCATAAGTCACTTCTAAGTAAAGAACCAAAGAGCTCTCTCTTAGGGGTAAAACACTCTGAAACTCTTCACTGTTTTTCTAGAGTCTAGACACTGTTTCCAAAACAGTAGCCTCTCCCCACATGTAGCCGTTTAAAAATAGTTACTTGAGAATCCCAATCCCTTCCTGGGTTACACCAGTTACTTCGCAAGTGCTTGCCAGCCTGTGTCTCCGGCTTCGGGCACCGACAGCGGAGGTAAGTGAGATTCCCGTCGTCACAGAAACTTCTACTGCACAATAGTATTCCAGACAGCTATGGCTGCTCGTTAATGAGATGGTATCATCAGTGTCTACTTTCCAAAGCAGCAAACAGACTAAGGAACAGCAGAGAGTAAGACCAAATCTCTAACTGCTCTTTTATTTAAAAGATAAAAATGGAAGCACCACAGGGTCATCAAGGCCAACTAAACAGAAAAGCTGTATTCAAAGGAAAAGTGTAAGACACAAATCTACACTCCCCTAGTTTTCAAGACTATTCCAAAAAAAACTCCTCCTAGGAGGGCCAAACAGTCTCGACTTGTTTTCTACAGGAGGCAAAGCCCTGGCCGAGACGACATCAGCTGGACGTTATCCCCGGTGTCCAGCAGGGCGTCTGTATTTATTTATCATCCGAGGCCCAGTAAAGGATCTCAAGCGCAGAAATGCTGTGCACAGAACAGAAGTGTCAGATCGCGCTGACCAGGACTCCAGTGGAGAGCAAGGGAGATCAAACCAAGCATCAGGGTTGAGATAAAAATGTATGGGCTGCTCAGGAAAAGCTACAGTGACATCTAAGATAAACATCCCCGTGTGTCCTCGGAGCAAGCACAGCTCCTTCAACACGGCCCTGGGGTACACAGAGCTCAGCTCCGTGTAGCTCTTTCTTTCAGTACAGTAACCTCACACTGCAGCAAGCGATGTGGCTCACAGCCTCCGCTTTCTGACGGTCTGGCTGGATCTGAACAGAAATGGGAATGTGTGTGTGTGGAAAGCATATCGTAAACAAACAAAGAAGGCCTTGGAAAAAGCCTTTGTGTTAAGCTGAACACGGTGCTGCAGGCCTGTAATCCCAGCACTCAGCAGGCTGAGGCAGGAGGATCGAAAGTTCAAGCCCCACTGAGCGACTTAGCAACTTAGTGAAACCCTGTCTCAAAATAAGAACAAAGACAGGGCTGGGGATGTAGCCCTGGGTTCAATATCCAGTACTATCTGTTTTTTTTTTTTTTTTTTCTGGTCTTCTGTCTTTTCTTCCAGTACCAGGAATCAAACTCCCGACCTTGCACTTGCCAGGCAGGTGCTTTGCCGCTGAGCTAAATCCCCAGCCCCCATCCAGTACTATCAATCAACCGATCCATACAAGTGCTTCTTTATCCCACACCTTCCCTGCTGTCGTAGCTCCCAACGCCAGTAAAAATCTGATAAAAGAGCGTCAGCCTGCTACCTACTTTCGAGTCAAGTTTTTGTTTCACGTATGCGCCGTTTGCTGCCGTCAGGACATCGTTTATCAGAATAAAAACGTATCCTTCCAGGTCAAAGGCCAGGTCCGAGCTGCAAAACACAAGCACCAGGGTAAGAACAATTTACACTGCAATTCTTTGCATGTCATGCATTTCGTTCTCAGTAACTCCAAACTATGCTGTCTGCAAGAGCACATTCTTATCTTGGTCCAGGGACGTTAGGCCTTTATCAAGCACGAGTATCTCTGCAGCCCTGGTCACCACTTCCTACGCAGTAACGGATTCCTCGGAAGTGAGAAGCACTAATGCTCAGGCACACCGTTCACTGCTCTGAGTTCAGCCGCGTCACCGGCAGCCGGGTCACCTTCACCGCCCATGGAGCCCACCGCAGGGCCCCGATGTCGCAGACGGGAAAAGCACAAGGATGGAGCTGCCGACCTGTGGCTTCCCAAAAGCTCACATGGACACAGGGCAGCCTCACACAGGTGGTGGCGCGGATGCAGAAGCAAAGGACTAGCTCCTCACCCAGTGTGTGGGGCCTAACTAGTGAGATGCGGAAAGGAAAGAGAAGTCGGGAAGTTTACCCGACACAGGCAAATCCAGCCCAAGCGCCAGCGTGCTGCAGACATGCCGTGCCGGGGCAGAGCCCGAACCGGAACCGACAGCCGGCTTCAGACAGGGAAGCCCGGTGCACCCCAGCTCGGGCAGTCCCCGGGGCCGGCCGGCCTCAGACCCTGCTCCCCTCCTCCCAAGGCGAAGGCTCCCGTCAGAGAGCACCCCTGCTCAGAAGCCGTCTGCCCAGGCCCGCCCCACGACACCTCACTGCTCGGCACAATCCGGCCCCCACAGAGAGGCCACAGGCGCTGAGGGAGGAAGACGCCCACTGACTGTCCCCGGGATGCACCCTGACGGCGCGGGTACAGAACCGCATTCCAGTCACCAACTCTCCGCTTTCTTTTGTTTGGTCTTTTTAGTACGAAATTCACTCGCAGATTTGAAGGTGAAATAGAATTTGGCTTCTACGTTCCCCAGTTATACCACAGGCCTAGGGTGAACGCACACGACCTCGGCCGAGAAGCACCCCGAAACCCCCAGAGGGGAAACGCGCCAGCAGCATGTGCGGCCTCTGAGGCCCGCAGCCGCCCACCCCGGCTGGGTGAGAGACGGCTTCCAGGAGCCCCGGGACTGCGGAGGCTTCAGCGCACTCGGCAGCCGCCGCCTCCCTTCCCCTCTGAGGTCGGCCCAGGGCGGCGTGAGGACCCCGTGTGAACGCACGCATCATGATAAGCCGGGCAGACTGGCGCTTTCCTCTCCTTAAACGTTACCACTGCTTTGTGCTTTCTCCATGTATTCTTAAACAAAAACTTAAGAAAAGTGGGAGAAGCATTAGTGACCTAACAGGACACCTAGGTTATGATATCTACATCTTGAGGGAGGCCAAACAAAGCACCGCTACTATCGTTCTTCCACCAGGCCAACGGCTCGCTGTCATTCGCCAAAGAGCACCGGAGGCCACAGTTCATAGGACAGGGAGTTCCCAGGTCAGGCAGAGCCACGTCCCAGCCGCCCCGCCAGCCGCGGGACCCTGCGCACGCTGACAGCTTCCGCAAGGAGCGCACTCCTGCAGCTCCCCGAGCTGTGGTGAAGACACATAAATGACATGCGCTCCGCGCTCAGGGTACTGTGTAGCACACGGCACAGGCTCAGTACTGAGGAGACAGCGGCAAATCCGAACTCCAGGAACTTAACCCTTACAAATCCTCACTACCAGGACACTGTTAGCCTTACTCTGAAAACAGCCAAAAAGATTTACACTTTTGGAGTCTTTTGAATACCTGTCAGAGATAAGATTCTTATTTAGGCCACAAAGAATTATTCTTATTGATAACTGATCAGTTATTATCAATAATCCTTGATTACTTAGGTGTTGTCTGTAGGCCCACGTCTTACCTGGCAGCTACAAAGGCGCCAATAATCATTGCAAATACAGTCATTTTAATACCCCAAGAAAAAGTCTTCCTACAAAACAAAATAAGTAAAAATGTATACATGTGACTTTAGTTATTCACATACTTATTTTACAACACACGTTAAAAAAGTGGTATTTTTTTAAAAAGATAGAAACAATCATATTTTAAACATTTCCAAGGAACTAGATACTTTTAAAAAACCCCTCTGATGGAGTGAAAACTCATTCTGTTACACAAATGATCATTTCCATTTTTTCTTCCTGGTATTTATTATTATTAGTGAGTTGGAAATTTTATAGACTGGAGCTTCTTTAGGTAGAAAAAGATCACACATTTGCGGTGAAAGTGGCCCTGGCAGGTCCGGGACACTGTTCACAACCCACACCTCCGGCTCTGCCCCGGCTCCCCCAGGGCAGCCACACACCCCGGCCTGGGAAAGCGAATCTCACGGCAGACGGGTTTCCCACAAGGCTGCGCAGTGCGCTCCCACCGCAAGGGAGGAAGGCGGCTGCCTCGCCCCGGGGGGACAGGGAAGCAAGACACGGCACACATCTCACATCTGCTCCCCAGGGCTTCGGCTGTTTAAGGAACGGGTATGTCAGAAACAGCGCTCACTTGAGCAGAGCCCCTTCTGCAAGCATCGTGAACAGGATGGAGAACCTCCTCAGCACCGTGAACATCGGCAGGCTGCAAAGGTAGAGAAGACCAGGTTCACAAAGCTGAAGGCTCATTTCTTTAACACAAAGATTTTCCAAACTGGTAGTTTAAGATAATGTTAATCTCTTTCCTCCATTATGGAAATTCCATGTTGATTAGCTGGGATTAATTAAACCCTCTCTCCAGAGATAGTTCTGATTTCAAACCCTTGAAATAGCTGCTTTTAGGGCTGGGGATTTAGCTCAGCGGCACAGCGCCTGCCTGGCAAGCGCAAGGTCGTGAGTTCGATTCTCGGTACCGGAAAAAAAACGAAAAAAGAAAAAAAAAACAAATAGCTGCTTTTAGAAAACCACTAGAAGTGAGACGCACTACAGTGACTGTGAAAGGGTAGAGCTCGCGCACCTCTGGCCAGGGACAGTGACCCGCTCTAACCTGACCCTGCGAGCCACACACAAGGACGGTCTCCAAGGCGGTCCGGCTACACCTCCCTGCACAGGCCCACCTCCCTGCCCACTCCCCCATCAGAAAACACCTGAGCAGGCCTTTCCGGGGTGCTCTCCTGCCTGCCCTTCTCAATTCCCTGAGCACTGCGCTTGCACCCACCAAACGTCCAGCCTCCTGCAATCCAGTTATTCCTCGGTACATCTCATCTCGTTCCACAGTACCTTCCACTTAGCTGGCAGTCAAAGGTAGGGTGTGGGTGCACGGGTGGACGGATGGATGGACAGAGGGATGACAACGGTAAAAGAAGCAGACCCTCTGCCAGCAACACTCTGAGCAGGCCTGCATGTCTCTCCGGGTGGGGGATGAGGCGGCCACAGGTGCCGCACCCGCGATGAATGTGACTTCGGGGCACTCTGCGCTCGCACAGCCTCGGACGCCGTCAGCTTCTCAGGTGAGGAAGAGCGCAGCGGCCTGAGCCGAGGCTGTGCAGTCACCCGGTAACCAGGGCTTCGCTCCAGGAAGAGGGGAGCGCTGGGTTCCGTTCCGCTGCGTCCTCCGGGCGCAGCTGGCGTGTCACCACACCCAGGGCACTCCAGCAAGGGACGGAGCCCCGCCCGGGCGGGACGGGGAGACACAGAGCTGCCAGGGGCACAGGGCCGAGGCTCTTCCCAAGAAGCCCAGAAGAGCCACCAGGGTGACACCCACACAGGTACCGGGCTCTCCCAGTGACTTCAACTGTGTCCCATTAAAAGACAAGCAACAACAACAAAAAAAAACCAAACTGAAAGCTCCATGTCCATCCTCCGAATGTGCTACGGGGAATCTGCTCAACTGCAGTATTTCTGATTCATATTAAAGAACTGAAACCCCAGAAGCCTACCACATCTCTCACCATTGCAGGGCGGGCAAAACAACGAGAATCTCTCATCCCAGCATTTCACAACATTTTAAGACTTCCCACGTTAAAGTGAGGGGAAAAAACAAAACAAACTGAGAAACTACTCTTCCTCTTCCAAAGAAGAGCTTATCCTAAAGGCCTGGGAGCAACCTTCATTATCTAGTGTTTAGCCCAAGCTTTCTGGTCGTTTTCTTTTTTCCAGAAGCAGGGCCAGCGCGTTCCCACCTGACACTCATTACAGTTCAGCCTTAGGAGCACGTTACGTGGGCCTCGCAGGGAGAGCGTTACACATACTTCAGTCTCTTCGTGCTGAACAGTCCCGTGATCTGGTTCCCGAAGTACAGGAGAGGTAGCGGAAACGTCTAGAAAATTCAAAAAGGGGGAACAAAGCTCCATAATAAAAACAGCTCCAACAAGGTCCTTGCAAACACACACAGCTTCGCTTACATGATCAAATTCTTTCATAAACAACCTGGCCCCCAGGAAGCAGCCCAGGGCACGAACTCTCCTTCGGTGGGTACCGCGCGGGCAGAGCGGGGAGGAGGGCAGGGAGGAAGGAGAACTGTGAACACGATCGTCCAACGCGGGGAAGAAACACCCTCTGCTTGCCCACGGGACCCCGCAGCAGCCCAGGCCTCCACAGGGCCGGGCAGGGGGCACAGGCGGCATCTGGGCACCCTGCGGGGCAGCACGGGCAGCGAGGACCCGTAATCAACAGCAGTGAGCGCGGAGTAACTGGCGGTCACAGGGGGAGACGCCCGCGTTCCCGGCAAGTATGCAGCAATGAAAAGAGGAGAGCCCTAGGGACGCTCCGGTCCTGAACTGCAGGGCGAAGGGCCGCTGCATGTTCTGCTCTCCTCTCTGACTCGGGGGTCAATGCCACCGTTTCTAAACACACCGGGCACCAAGACCGTCGCTGAGGGCGCCACGTCTGCATAACACAAAGAGGTGCTTTCATTCATTTTCTCTCCTTTTACCTTGCGAGGTATACTTCTGTCCAAGTCGGGGAACTTGACCACTCTGAGGGCCTTGCCCGCCCACAGCACGGCCACGGTGGCCACCATCTGCGGACAGAGAACACAGGGGCCTGTGCTGCGGCCGGGTCCCGGGCACACCGCGGGCGGGCAGCGCCAGCGCGCCTACTAACCTGGCCGAGCCCCACGCACAGCGAGGAGGGAAACCTACGGAAAGGGGAAGGAAAGAAAGCACGGAAGAGAAAGTCAGGCAACAGACACAGCTCCATTTAAAATATTTTTGCCAAAAAAAATCAAGTATTTTTCCCCTTCCATGTCAGGGATGGAGCCCAGGGCCCGCACACTGCTCTGCACCCCCAGCCCT